TGCTGCTTCAGTCTCTAAGCCTCTCACAGACGCGTTCTTCCGCAGCCAGCGTTACAGCAGCAGCATTACCAGTGGCAGCGACAGCAGCAGCAACGGGGGACCCTTTTAATTCCGTGTCGGAATCACGCCGAAGGAGACCGTCGCGTATCTTTAGTAACCAGTGCATATTTCATAGACGTGCCGTGTGTGCGCATAATTTTCGAGCGACTGCTCTTACAACCCGCCTGCAGGCGCGCTTTCTCCACTCCCCCCCCCCGCCTCACCCCCCGGGCGCCACTCTCTACCGCACGGACCCGGCTGTCCGCCCCGCTGACGGACGTTCTCTCCTCGCGGCTTGGGGTAGGAGAGCCTCCGTCGTGCCTCTGTTCGCGTCCCGCTCCGCGAAGGGCGCCCGGGAGAGAGTTGATTAATCTCTACAATATTTAAGAAGCGCGCCGGGGTCGGGAGCAAAAAGCCTTCCGCCCGAGCTTTACGGAGATAGCTTTCCCCCGTTATATAAATCCCCCCGGCTAATCCGCTGTTTGCATCGATGTTATACCTCTTGTGTTTTCCCTTGCGGTGTCCCCTGCCTTCTTGTTCCCGTCGTGGGCGACGCGCCCGCGTCGCAACGCGTGGCCACTAAATACATCACCTTAATGGATTTCTCGGTGTTGCGCCCTCCCCCCCCCCACTCTCTCAAAAGAGAAGCTTCTTAAATTCGATTTTTCCATACCGGAGAAACGTTATCGTAAAATATTTTTAACCAAGAAACAGATTAACGTGACACCACACGTAATACCTAAAGATCCTATATAGAAGAAATATCGTTGGACAATTATAACAGATAGGCGGTTAACGATCGGTATATACTCGTATATAAATATTATTTATATTAATTACGGAGAAATACGGGAAACGGGAGATTATCGTGATTGTTCGCGATACAGATCGCGGTGAGCGTTTCGCGATTAAACGTTAAATGAAACGGGATAGTTTTATTATCGGGGAATATATTATGAGATATACAGGCGCACGGAATTATGATATCCGCGCGACCGCGCGCACGTAATACTTCATCATATTTGCAGTATCGCTCGCGGTAATTCGAAGTTCAATTCGACTGATTTATTTTTAATTCGCTACTCCGCGGCGTATACCGAGTTTAAATGTCTGATCGCGCCCGAGCCAATTAAGTTAATCCAGCGTGTACGATTTCCGGGTGTAAGTCCGATACGCGCGAATAATGCCGCCGGCGATGTAACACAGTCGCTCTTCGCTCTGTAGGCCAAACATTTATGCGGGACTCGCGGTGAGATCGCGGGATCGCGTCGCGGATTCGTAGATAGAATTGCGCCGGGCAATTGCGTTATCCGGGATTTATTGTGTCCCGCGACGTTAACTCGCGGCCACGCGCCCGTCCAGGGACTTTGGCGTGGCGTCGAACGTAATTCGCGCGCGCGCGCATTTTAACAATTATGTGCACGAGCGTGCGGATTTAATAATGGCGCTCCCCATATTCCCCCTACGTTCCTCGAAGGATACTTACGAGTTACGTTATATAGAATTGTCGCCACCAACGAACCACTCGCGCGGATATATATAGAGCGTGCAATACCGACAGAAGGAGCCGCGAGAGCAAGATAATTGTATTACGCTGCGGATGGCGCAAACCTGCAGAGTTTACTCGGCCACTAAAGATCTCCCGTTGGCACGTTTTTCGCGAGAGAAAAAAAAACGTAATGCGGCTTAATCAATAAATCGATGGGATACATTGCCAAGTACCGAAAAAGAGAGAATAGTTTCAACACCGCGCCACACAGCGCGAAGAGTTCATTTCGAAAAAAAAAAACGCGCATCATCGGTCAACTTCGATGTCCCGTCACTCAGCGTACCTCTCGCGCTCTTCGAAACAGCGCGGGTGCAGAGAGTAAAAAATCACGATATTTAATTCAATCAATCCGAGTTCGAAAAAAGCTGCGGGCAGAGGAGCTAGACGAGAAGCGCGCGACATCCCGCGTACCGGAATTATTAAATGGCGAGCGATACCACGTACGGAATTATTAAATGGCGAGACTGTATTCCAGCGTAATTCTATTCCAGGCATGAAGAAAAGATATATGTACACATACATATATATATATATATATATATATATATATATATAGAGAGAGAGAGAGAGAGAGAGAGAGAAAAGAGAGGGAGAGAGAGGGAGATCTAAAGAACGTCGCGCAGACTCTGGCTGCCAGAGAGCGGGCGATAATTGCATTGCTAATAGTACGACGGGTGTGGGGTCGGTGACTTGCACAGTTTATCGCACTTTATTGCTTTACCATGAGCGTCGTGTGTCCTCCGGGCATTCTCCAATGGCGCGTAGTACGTAGCTTTGCTACCCCGTTCCGTTCCTGAAGCTTAACGCTCAATGTGCAAAGACGATAACGGGCGTAACACGCGTGGAGACATAATGTAGATATTAGATAAACGGCGCGGCGCTTTCCCTCTGCTCGCCCCCTCCCCGCATTACCTCTCTTTACCGGCTATCATTGCCGCGATTTATTGCTCTCGACGTTGAATACCCGGTGCGCGCCGTATAACTTTCTTTGACTCTCTATCTGTTAATCTAGTTATCTCTCTCACCTACGATTTATTACGGAGAACGGAAGGCAAAATTACATCTCACGATATTCCGGGGCAAGTGTACGCAAACAGAAAGTACCCTTTAATTAATACGGGATTACTTAATACGAGTACTAAAAATCTTCCCGCTGAACACTCGTGTAGCTAAGAGCACACAAGAGTGTTTCCGCCGGCTGAATATAATGTAATGTTTATGTTAAATAGAGACCACTAATCCACGCGAATCCGGGATCAGTGTAATGTCCGAGATAAGCCGAGATTCATAAAATAGCATGATACGCGATAAAGTAATGGATATAAAAAGGAATAAATTTGCAATAAAAATCTGTAGGAGGAAAAGCTTGCGGCCGACTCGATGAAATAGATAATATCTTCTTTTTTTGTTGCGAGCTTGTAAAGATCTTATTCGTGATTTATTAATCACGGAAGCGGAATCGAAAAACCGGTTGATAACGGCGACACGCAAGGGGGTAATTATTGGGAGCCTAATAAAAACTTAAGTCGATTCACGCGCGGCTGTCACGCGTGAAAAATATTGCCGTATGAGCGCCCTGAATTTAAATCTATCTAGGACGCGAGAGAGAAGTCGGGGTATAGAAATTCACGACGCCGCGGCCGCGCACTCGTTGCCGCGGTGAACGATGCAATCTCGCTCTTTCAGAGCTGTCCGCGTTAAAGATTTTACCGCGCGTTTACTCATTAATTCGCAAATGACTGATTTATTCGAGAATTAATAAACAAATGTGCCGCGGGGGATTGATGCGCGGGTATGATGCGCTTTATCCGTCTCGTGGAGATTTGTAATGCGCACGATTAATACAGTTGTTTTTGTGGAACAATTAAATATTTGTTCGCATTTCCTCCCTCCCCCCTTCCCCCCTACCGTCGAATCTACATATCTGCATGCCGTATACCTACGTCGCGCGTCGCATCGCTACACGGGGATGCGATCAGACCGGTAAACCTCCTCGTAAATCGGATTATATCGGGGGAACACGAAATTGCTGAACCGATAAGGCGCGACTTTCTATTTTTACATTTTCTAACGCACCCCGCGTCGAACTGATACGGCCCGCGCAGGCAGATATCTCTCTCTCTCTCTCTCTCTCTCTCTCTCTTTACGCCCGTAATTGATGAAAATTTACTTCGAATTTTCTTCGATTCAGCAAACGTCCGTCGATCTGTTACCTGAGCGAGACGTCGATGCCAGGGCTCGTGGGAGCACGAAGAAAAACGTAACGGAAAAAGAACATTCCCGTACCAAAAATTACTTTCTACATTGAACTTCAGCTGCATTACAAATACGCCCCGCTTCCTTCTTCCCTCTCGCCCCGTCGCCTCTTGTAAAAGTGCTTCAAAGTTTCGACTCGCGTAGACAAGGGATCCCGAGACAATGTAAGGGAGGGGGGAGGGGGAACTCGTGGAATCGTTTCTAAGTTCGTACGTAAGCGGGCGAAGAAAATTCTCCAAACGCTCGAAAGAAAATGTGTAACTCGATACAAAACGTTACGTTGTTCAACGATCAAGTGTTAAAAATATGATACATATCTATTGCAAAATGTGCAATAGATAAAAATACCAGATGGAAAATACCAGAAAGAATAATCGAAGAATAATAGCATGAAAGCATTTATTTAGCATTTCCGTAGATATCTAAAAATAGCAGCGGCACTGTTATAATTTTGAAAAATGATTTATTTCGATGAAAATATGAAAAAGCTACTGCAGTAGATAAATAAATGATATATGGAAAGATATGGATGCTGAGATAGACTAAAATTGTTTATGTAAAATCGAACATTTGCAACTTATATCATTTTATCTCGAGTAAATATTACGAGGAATATCGCTTCATTTCAAAGTTCGCACATGAGCGAATAACGAAAATTCTCCAAACGTTCGAGATATGTAACTTGATACAAAACGTTGCGTTATAAACGCGATCAAGTGTAAAATATATGATACATATCAATTGCAAAGAAATACATATAAAATGGAAGGAATAATCGAAAAATAGTACGAAATATTTAACATTTCTGTAGATATTTGTATTCAAAAATAGCAGAGTGGCATTACTATAATTTTTAAATTACTTAACTTATTTATTTCTCAGTATAAAATATAGAAAAGTACACAGTAGATAAATAATATATTCAAGATAAAGGCGCTAAGTTAGATTGAAATTGTTTATGTAAAATCGTACGTCTGACTTCCTCTCGTGAGAATTTACAAGAAATATCGCTTTCTCGAGTTAAATTGACCGAAACGGATACAAAATATCAAGAAAGTCGCGTGGAAAATAGATTTTCGATATTCTACATGCAAAGAAAATCGAAAATGATTTTTCACGTTTTTTAAATAGATAATAATTTAGTACATCGACATACCTTTGTGATGTTTGTTGATGCTTATTACTTGACCGTCTTCGCGTTTCCACATTAATTTCGGTGGCGGATATCCGTCGGCCTTGCATGTAAGTGTAATATTCTGATGTTCCCGAACTGCCACAGTGCTTTCCGTAGAAAGGGAATCCAATATATTCGGCGGCACTGAGAGGACAAATGGAACAGCTTTTTTATTCGAAGTTTAGCCCATAACGTTGTATGATTAACGTTCGTTAAACATTCCTTTTAATGTGGATTTCGCTAAGTACACGTTTATTTCATACACGGATAACATTAATGTGAAAGTACTTTTAAATCGCATCGCGACAATGAAATACAATAAAATAATTTGAAGTCAAAAGAAATACTTGATTAATAATATAAAACTGTTACTGCGTTATGAACTTTTACGCCATCATTTTATTCACGTTGCAGAATCACGTTGCAATTTATTATTATTAGAAAATGTATACTTTGCGTGTAAATTATTTTATACAAGTTATTCAGTGGCTCAATCAGCAGATAAGTTTTTTAAATGTTTATTTTAATTATAATATTAAATAAATATTTTAAAAATATTAAAAAATTGTCTACTGATTGGGGGAGTAAAACTAATACTTACCAACGACTTGAAGAAAGCCCACTTGGCTAATCATTGGATTAGTATTTACTTGGCACATATAATAACCCCGGTCATCCTGTTGCACACTATTTATATGAAGCAGCCATGTTTTCTGATTGTCATGTGACACGGAAAACCTGGGTACTTTCACGACCACGTGCTTGTGAATGGTGAGCAACATTTGGCGACCAACATGGATCCACGCCACCTAAAAATAAAAGCGAAACAAAGGTTTAAAAGTGCATTGTTAAGTAATTTTACATAGAAAATTTTCAAGTAATTTTAAGAGAAAATTGTTTTAATTATACGGAAAAAATGATATTAATAACCCCACTAGCCCCCGATCTACAATAGGTGTAACAAAGCTTTAAGTCGCAAGAAATTGTCCAATCATAGTCGTTTGTTCTTTTCACATTTGATTATGATTGGTCAATTTCTTATGGCTTAAGGCTTACTTAATCGATAACATTTAATTGAAAATAATCTTGTTAATTCAATAACAGTATTAGTAAAACAAATATAATAATATTTTATACGTTCTTGTTTTAATAAATTTTATTTGTTTCATTAACTCGTAAAGGCTACGTCTCTTTTAAACATCCGTAAAGAATACCTGAGTGCGAATTCGCACCAAGCGTTTTTAAAGTTTTATATCTTCTGAAAATAAAAAGCAAAATTAAAATAAAACGTGTGTTTTCCAATGTAAAATTTTCCGACCAATCGATTGGTAATATTAAATTTTCGAAAAAAGAACATAATTATTTTCAAAACTGTGTGTTAAACAAAACCATTTTTTCAAATGCCCACAAGTTGAAAATTTTGTGGGTGTCAATTCGCACTAGGTGTCCTTTACGGGTTAATATTGGTATTGAATGCAATAAAATTAATTACAAATAGACTGCTGTTGGTTAATGCCATTTACTAACAAGACATATAACAGAATGTATTTTGATAAGACCAAACAGAATTTCTGGTTATCACCATTGGATTAGACATTTTATAAGTAGACTAAATTTGGTAAAATTTTCGATTAAATCTATAAAACTTCTAGTTATATTCATTAGATTAGTTTTTTCATTAAATGTCATGCTGACCTAATCTGACATATTTAATAAGAAAAAATTAATCATGTTCATTTTGATTATTTCTAAAAGAATTTCAATTTATTCATTTTCTAATAAATATACTGACTAAATTTTCAATTTTTGATTTTTTTTCAGTGTATATACATATAGAATATACGTGAATTATATAACGTCAGAATAATATATAATGTGTTATAATATATAATGTGTTTTTAAGTTAAATAATTTATATAATTTTTATAAATAAAATATAATTTTTTTTCTTTACATATAACATTTTATTAAAGTTTAGTTATCCCTCTATATATCCTCTATATACTCTATTACCCTCTATATACTCTAGCCTCTCTTTCTCTCAAGTTTGCATGCGCGCGTTATCAAATTTAATATTACCATTTCAGAAAATTTAAAGTAAAAATATGTAAGATAAAATAATTGTAAATCGCACTAGACTAAATAATAATAAGCAATAAGGAAAGTATTTATATATCTTACTGAAATTGTTATATAAAATTATTACAGTTATAAAAGCGTATCACATTCTGTTTACGTATAATATATAGATATAATTATTTCTGTTTGATTTAACATAATAATATTATATAACAAAATTAAAATAACTTAAAACTTTATAATATAACTCTCGCTAGTTATATATAAATGTATACATGTACAAGTTCAAATTTAATCCTCTAAAATTCAAGATCTGACGTTGACAGCAAAGTTGAGAAACCATCACGTTGAAAATTTCAACGTGCCCGCTTAATACACCTCCAGCAGACACGAGTTCATAAAGCCGGCGAGGAAGCAGCCGTCCGTTTATCGCGCCACGTTCCCGCATTGAATATTTCCATATTAGCACATCGCGAAGTCACGCCGTCTCCGAAAGTCCGCAGCTAAGCATCCCGTCAGCGAAAAATTCTCTCCTCTCGTCTCAAGAATACCCCACGAAAACCACCCCGGCCGGCAAATCTGCGCGCGCCGTGGCGACGTGTTTTACGATCGGTGTCGAACTTGTCTCACGATCTCTTCCGACTCTTCCGGCCCGTCGTCACAATAGCACTTACATTGATGACAGCCACGGTCACGGCGAATATTTGCTACTTGTGGCCGCTGTGGCCGCAACCGTGGCGGAAGGGGGTGGAAGAAGATCGCGACGCTATGCGCGCCGGCCTCCAGGAATGAAGATTATTACGCCAGTATTTTACGCTCCACCGGGATAACTCGCTTCTAACTAACAAGCTCATTCCGCGACAAAGCTTATGCACTTTCAAGGACTTCCGGGCCGCTTCTCCCGAACCTTTCGTCTTATTTCCCTCTCACTGCGAATTCGAGACAACGCCCGGCGAGAGCGCAACGGTACGCCCACTGTTTTTTCCCCTCTCTTTTTTTTTGCTCTTGTTAGAGCTTTTTTTTAAGTATACTTCTTCATAACTAAAACAGCAACGAATTCCGCCCGACTCGGTTCCTATTATCGCATTTTCCTTGCTGCGAGACGTCGTAAAGTGCGTTTTCGCTCGTAAGAGAATACCGTAAGAATCTGAATCTACGAGTTCTTGAATGCTTCGTAATTATATTTTCAAAGCATTTGCCTTAATTATAATTTAAACAGTAATATTAAAGATTATGGTTGATCTTGTCTTATTGTATTACCGTTTTATTGTATAAATTAAGCTTCGCTATAATTGCTATAAATGCAAGTTATAATTAATATCCTATTATTATATTATTCACACTATTTCTATTATTGTAATTTTATTAGCAAGACAGCGACTTTTGCCGTATCGCTTAAAATAATTAAATGATTAATAGAAGTTCTAATGAAAGATATTATTTAAAATTGGAACTGGTTAAAGGATTTTAATGTTTAACTAAACGTATCGCAATGTTCGCGATTTTGCACAATGATTTACTCGCTAAATCTCGCTTCCTTTCAGATTCGTTATTGCTGCTTGGCAACATCTGGATCCGCGGAAATGGCGCTTCTTCCGCTTTTTCCTCGCCTCTTTTTCCGGTGTATATATACTTCCTCAAATTAAGCTAGAAACAGCCCGTTCGGACAGAGTAAATTGTATCATTCCTACCCTTTCTTCTTCTTCCAAAATGCAAAAAAATCCAGCTTTTATTCGTAACGTTATTGTTTATACAGAATATATTTTAAAAATATTTTGATAATATATACAATATGCATGATGTTTCGTGAAAAACATTTATTATTGTATGTAATTCGAGAGAGCAACATTTTAACAACATTCGAAATAAATAAACTTTCCGAAGACATGCCCCAAATTCAAATCATCCGACAAATTAAATAATTACAGCAGAAATAAATTTCACAAGTGGATTATTGCTAGTATAAAATATATAAAAGCATTATTATCATATATATATTGTCGCAGTTGTTGCCGCAACTACAGTTGTAAAAAACGATTTCGTTTGACGTTTTACTCGGCAAACAAATTATGCTTAATCGACTTATTGCGAATCTAAATCCGACGAGACATTTACATTTAGGAGTTGCTGTTTCCCCGTTTTACCCTATCCCCTCCCCTTTCTTCCTACTTCTTCTTCTCTCTCGAATTCTTTTCCCCCCTCAGGTATTTCACCTAGCGAAACTCGCGGCAACAACTCCGTTCAGAATTGTTCGCGCTCTATGTATACCGCTTTTCCTTTTCGTCGGGCACTTCAGGGTAAGCAAAAGTTTCAGGTACGGGAAATCACAGTACGTCCCGTGAAAGTTCTTTAAACAGTCAGACGCCACTGACGGCTCTCCTAACGAAGAGCTCAGAAGATGGATGGTGGCGGATCTCCGAAGCTCTTGTCTGCCAACAGGATTTGCTGGTTCCCGAGGATCTCCGAACTCGTCAGATTCCGCTTCCTCGGCTTGCGTGTAATTCTGAAATCCGCACCGCTCGCGAACATGTGATCGTATCTTCCTAGCTTTCTTTTCGGCAGGTTTCCTTGTACCGCGTTCGCAACAAAAAAAAAATTTTTAAAGAGGAAAAAGAAGAAATGTGATTTTTGGTCGCCGAAAATCTCAAAGTGGACAACACGAGATCACTTGTCAGGCCTCAGTCGGGAACAATTTTAATTACTTCTCATTGTTATTAACCCGTAAAGAACACCTGGGTGCGAATTCGCACTCACAAAATTTTCAACTTGTGGGCATTTGAGAACAGATGAATTTGTCTTTCCCCACTACATGAATTATGTTTGTACTCTGTTGTTTGAAATAGAAAGGTCCCGAGGATCATTTATGCCTTAGCCTTTGCTTGAGACATATTGAAAATTCGTTTGAGTGCAAATTCGCACCTACATGTCATATACGTGTGTGAAATCGGGGAGTACGAGAAAAATGAAATTATTTATCTGATCGATCTAGAAGCTTCATTATACAAAATGTAAGTATTTTTCAATCAAGATTATTTATTTATTGTATATAAGTGATAAAAATAGTTATTCTTCTAAATTTTATGTAAATATAATATAAACATAATTATGTAAATAATATAAACATTAATTTTTAAACCTCACATATTAATAAAATAATTG